AATCATTTCAGAGAACAGGGGAAGGCACCACAAAGGCATGCTTCCTAGGTTTTGTAAGGTGTCAAGATTTAAAAGAGAGAACCTGGAACATCCCTTCCCTATGGAAGCGTATAAGGCATGCAGATGTCCTTGGGAAAAGGCAGCCCTACAAGTACCCTGGCCCTTTACATATAGGCTTTAAAGGTGATAACCAGTACCTTGAATTGCATCCGGAAGCCTAATGGGAGCTAGTGCAGCTCGTGGAGTAGTGGTGTTACATGGGTGTAATAGGTTGTGCCCATAACTTCCTGGGCCACTGCATTCTAGAAGATTTTCAAGGGCAGCATGTTGCAGTAGTCCAATTGGGAGGTGACTAAGGTGTGAGTGACCCTGAGGAGGGCCTCCCAGTCTAGGAATGGATGCAACTTGGTCATCAGACATTGCACAAAAGGTCCCCTGGCCATAGCTACCACCTGCTCTTTGAGCAGGAGCTCTGACTCCAAAGGAACCCCCAGACTGCATACCAAATCTAAATGGGGTAGTGCCACCTCATCCAGAACCAAAGATGGAAACATTCCAATTCCCTGGAATTTGGATCTGAGGAACCCAAAACCTATAACCACTCAGTCTTGGCAGGGTTAAGCTGCAACCTGTTGTTCCCCATCCAGACACTGGGACAAAGCTTCAAAAGCTTCACTTGGACAGCCAGTGACAGAGATGTATAACTAGGTATCATCTGCATGTTGATGATACCTCACCCCCCATCCAGTGGCTTCATGTAGATATTAAAAAGGAGTGGGGAGAGAATAGAGCCCTGAGGCAGCCCGCAAAGCAGGGATCTGGAATAGTGATATAATGATGACACTCAACTTATGTTTCTTTTCCAACTAAAACAGGCACAATAAATGAATGACGTCAGTGTTATACCAATCAGCTGTTCCTTGATCTGAAGGGAAAACAGCATATGAGAAGGTTCAGCAGCAGCAGCAGCAGCAGCAGCAGCAGCAGCAGCAGCAGCAGCAGCAAAAGAACAGAAATAGTACCAGAAATTTGGGAATAAAGAATTACAAAGGCAAGAGAGTAGACAGCAAGAAAAAAACAAGCAAACCAAGATCTGATATCAGTAAACATATAGAAAGTAAGGCAGCTTAAGTCCATCGCAGCAAAATGAACCATATATCAATGAGGTAGCCTTATCTTTGTATACCTGTACAATTGCTCCTCTGAGAAAGTAAATTTGCTCCACTATAGGCCTATATGAATACTACATCTTCTCTCATTCAATGAGCATAGCCAGGTAAAAATATGATAATATAACCTAAGAGTGAATAACTTATTTGTTAATCATTTTGTTCAGCAATAAACAACCCGAAAGCAGTAATACAATTCATTAAAATTATGTATTTTATTAGATTTAGAGGCCACCTGAATCCAAACAACTCTGAGTGGCTTACATATTAAAAATCACAAACAATTAGAAACAAAAGAAAAATATGATAAACATCTGGAATAATACAATGTCCCCAAAACAGAACACAATACCCACCACCAAAACTAACAGAGGCTCAGCAACCATCCTACCCCAAAGTCTGGGAGCAAGTTTTCAACACCCCCGGAATAGGAGTCATATAGATCTGGGGGAGGGGGATACTGTTGCAAATACATGCAGGTAAATATTGTTTACAAAAACTTAAAGATACACAGTAGTACAATAATAAAATAAAATCCCCTTTGAGTACAGCTTGACTCCTGGTGACCACATGAGCACATAATTTTCTTTACCTCAATACAGAAGTGATTTGTCACTGCCTTCTTCTGGGATGTTTTTTTGATTCTCATTCTAATCTACTACCTTAGTATTTTCCAGTAATTTCCTACTGAACTATTAATCAGGTCTAACCCAGTTTAGCAAAAAAATCTCTGCACATTAAAATTGTAAATCATTTGAATTGCAGGAGAATTATCACCAAACACAGCAGACAATTTATCAAAAGTCTTAGATAGGAAACATACTTTGAGCTGACCAAGGAGGCAATTCCATAACTGGGGTGCTTGTATCAAGATTGCTCTCTCTCAAATCACAGCAAACTGCTGACAAATACAGACACTTCAAAGGGCATCCCCACTGTATTTTAATTTACCAGCTAGCAGAGATGGAACCATTAATTCAGATAAGTGATTGATTTCACTCTGTACTGCTCAGCTACAGATTACAGGCAACCATGAGATTACATACACTGCTTAAGGCACTAAACACAATTCATATTTTTTGACTGACAAACTACATGGTCTGCCAATTTCAAATTCCCTTAACTGGAAACCAAATACGTAAAGCATCTCTTCAGCACATCACCAAAGTGATAAATTTCTGTGAAAGTTCACATTCATCCACTTTGGTTCTGTACTTATAACTTCTAGGTAGAACTCAGCAAGCAGGCCCAGACATGTATGAACTTCACTTAAAAAAAAAAATACTGTACATTAATGAAAACAACAGACCACTGTCGAGAAAACTGAAATATTTGTTGTCAATAATGTACCCTTAAAAATGTCCACAAATCTACTATAACAGATATCAGTTGACATGCAGTGATGCAAGTAGTTCCTACAGAGTACGTATTCTGAAATTGCACAAATCTTTTGTAGAAGCACTAAGTTATTTTCACATGTGCTATGCCATTTTCTTCTTCCAAATAGATCCATTATAATGTTAAATAACAAGGGTACTTTTGTATGAAGGTTCTGTGTTGCTCCTAATCTTTTTGGACTGAATATTACATATTTTAGTCTAGATTCTCATTACTGAAGGCAAGCCATCTATCTGAATCCAAGACTCTGTATTGCTATGACAAGAGAAGAAGAAAAAAAAATTGAAGAAAGAAATGGAAAAAGGGCAAATGAATACTGAAAGAAAAATGCTAGGGTTCAGATGTAGAAATGTCCAGTGATGGGCAAAGACAAAAGTGAATACTATAGAATGGGGGAGGGAAAGGAAACTAATAGTTATAATGATCTGGATAGAGTAAGGATAAAGAATGAAGGATGCTCATTTTGTGGAAGCCACCTTGGTATTCATGGTGCCAAGATCTTTAAAAAATTAAGAACATAGAAGATAAAGATTTAAATTTAAAATGCACACACATCAAAAAAATCTAGTTCACAAGAATTAGATATGATCTACAATTCTTGAATTTATGATAGATTCATTTAAAAATACAGAGTAACAGTTAAATGGGCAAACATCCTTTTTGAAAATTAATTGAAAGTAAAGCAAAATATCATATGTTATATACGTTTAACATACACCCATAATTGAAATACTGCCTGAAATTCTTGTCACCTTATCTCAACAAAAAGATATTCCAGAGGTAGAAAAATACAGAAAAGAGCAACTAATATGAATATTTGGAAGGCTTAAAAGGGAGAATAGGACAGAGAGTTATAATAATAATGAATTACTTAGATGTATGGTTGAAAAGCAGTACACCTCTCAATATCATGTATCAGGGAAATACCGCAAGGAAGTGTTATTGAGAGTAATTTTGACTAAACTGGGAAACAAATTCTGGATTTGATTATCATTTTGATTGCACAGGTCAAGACTTTTGATATGTTCAGGAAGAACTGACATATAGAATAAAAACCAACAGAGAAAGGAAAACAGTGTGTCATAGATAAAAAAAAGTGTTAAATGATGTAGATAGAAAAGAAACAGAAAGTAGTAACAAAATGTGTTTAAGATGGAAATACAATGCTTTTTCCATGATTAACATGATAGCATTCCTCCAGAGTGTTAACAAAAATATAGTCAAATAGTGTTTCCCTGTAATATATAACAATTCATGTCACACCCTTATTATTTAAAGAATTTAAACTTTTGCAAATATGGTAAACTATGGTGAACATCATTTTCAAGTTGTGACAAGTGGTCTCTTATTAAAGCAAGTCATTACAAGTACTCTTATGAGAGCAAAATTACTTTAAAGATAAAAAACCGCATGTAACAATATGTTTTAACATTTTGTAAAATGTGAGTTACAACACCTCAGTTCATATACTGCTACTGATTGAAACAGAGGCACCTTCCTTTAAAGAAAGGCCAACTGTGGGAAAGTACAAAAGTTGCACAATGTAGTTTGAACCTGTTTCATGACAATGTAGCACTCAGCATTTTTGCTTATATTCCCATTATCATACATAGTATTTTTTAATAAAACATATACACCATTTTGAATGCATGTCAATTATATTAAAGTAGGATATAATATAGAGTTTTAACTTTGTCAAACTTACGGGCTGTAAAAACAGGAAGGATTTAGCTCTGAGAATTCCACTCTATCGGTAATATACTCCTAATGTAAGCTTAATTAACTAGATCTTCTAGAAAAGAGATTAAAGGAAAAGTGAAAGCCAGCCCGTATCCCTTTGACATGCAATTCAGAAGACTACTGGATTTCTATTTCTTTCAATCAATACAATGGTACAGAATTGTAAGACTATGTTTTTATCACTACATCTATAGCTCCCATCTATAACCAATACTATTAAGGAAGATGGAGCCAAAAGCAGACACTAAATTAAAAAAGGGGGAAAGCCGTTTTCAAATAAGATGCAGCCTTCTTTCTCCTCGTGTGCAACCAAAGGCAAAGTACAGCAATAAAAAGGAACATGTGGAAGAACTAGTGCACAATCAGTGACCTTGAGCACGCACTGTCCTTCCTGGCAAAGAGCAACAGGAAGAAGTATTAGCTCCAAAGCGGGAACCCCAAGTATCACACAGGTGCGTTAGACAAGACAAAGGCCCCTAGGAAAGGGAGGAAAGCTTAGGTGCGATTTAAAAGAGGAACACTGCTCGAGGGCAAAACCGGCAATTAACTTAAACTGGTGGAATAAAAAAGACCAAGAAAAGAAAAGGCGCCAGTTGGTCTCTGGAGCAGCCTTGCAGAATTAAAAGGCGCAAAACAGCGACCCAAGCCAGAAACCGGGCGGGAAGCGTCGGGGAAAGAAGAGAATAGACTCACCTGCCCAGGTATTCAGGTACGGGCCCAGTACCGCTAAGTTGTCCACCAGCCGCAGGCGGATTATACCCACTAACTCAGAAAGGACTTTATAAACGTAGTAGCCACCGACCAACACTCCGATCCAATAGAAAAGATCGGCACGGAAGAATAAAAAAGAAGCAGGAGCCTCCATGGTGTTCCCAAAGCTGCGCCAACAGCACCTGGAATGATGAGCCAGCAAGACTGATTCCTCCTCGCTTCCGTCGGACCCTCCCACAGAACAGCCCCAAAGAGCAGCTATTGGCTAATTAATACAACGTAGGATTGCTATTGGATACTTCGTGGAACACATGGCGCTTGATCTCGCGATGTTTTCTTTTCAAAAGAGGAGTAATCTGAAGTAAATTCCCCCACCGACGAGGATAATGGTCCTTAAATCGCTTCGCGCGCCCATGTGGCGAACGCCTCTTCCGGTGGAGCCTGTTTCTCTGGCTCCTATTGGTGGAGACTAATATCATTCATGCGGAGCCTCGTTGTGATTAGAGGGTATAATTATGAGCAGACCGGTGCGGAAGAGAATTTATCGCGTGGAGGCTAAATAGTGGAACTGGCGTGGGGATGGATTTCTCTTTTTTACAGGTTTTTTCCCCCTAAATCTGTCCTCATTCGGTCTCTTTATAGCCAAAGTAGTATTATCTTGTTGGTGTCTTTTATATTCAACCCACACTCGTTCATCGTCCATTCATTCCTGACCTTCCCCTTGTTTTACTACGTATTCTTAAATTCTCCACTGCCTACATACACAAATAGGAAAAGGAAAAAATATAAATGCAAGTGAGACAAAACAAGGTATTAAAATACAATTAGAACAAACCAACAGAAAAACAAGTTATATGCACAGTACAAATACAACATATTCGTATAGACGTTGCTGCAGCTCAGTTTGTAAAACAATGAATTGAACCTACTCCTTTCGCTATATTGTCCAGTCTTTCCTTGATGCCAAAAAGCCCTTTCAAAGGCTGAGGATAGGCACATTTCATCAAACCAGTTTTGGTATTTGGCACACAAATGTCTTTCCAGGAAAACATCATCTTTTTGGCAACAGCAACCACAGTAAATCCAAAACTTCAGAAACAGATTCCAAATTCTTGGAATATCTCTTAGCAGCATTTTTACATCTTAAATTTCTTCCAAGACCCTGGCTCTCCACAGTAAGAATATCAAACCAATTTTTACTAGAGGATGATCTGATGTTGTACAGTAATAGAACCTACAGAACAGATCTTGGCCACATTCATTATAGATTAAGATATTAAAAAATAACCCAAGCATAAAAATATGCCTTAAGGAGCTGAAAGATATATTTTTTCCATTATATTTAATTGTCTCCATATATCAACAAAATTAAAATCCTGAATGGGTTGCACTGATTATGATTATGTGCCATCAAGTCGTTTTTGACTCTAGCGACCACATAGATTTTCTCCATGAATGGAGAGCACTTCAGTTCTGGAAACTAATCACAGAAACTTAATTTCAGTCAGTTGATGGTTGCTGGCTACAAAACTAAATTAAAATTCCTAGCAATTATATTTATTATCTGTAAATGAAAAAGGTTCACAAAATATTTATGCAAAATACCTAGTTTATCTCCAGTTGATCCAAAAATATAATCAAAGCTATCTGATTATCACCATTGTATATTATATAATAACTAACTGTATCCAAAATTTCTTGTTCATCTGTGAAATTTGAAGATTCTTTAATTAGTACAGAGTCATTTCTCTGGTCATTTTTTAATTTCCACTTGTGAATTTGATCAACACAATTCCTTGTAAGTAAATAGTTTTTGAGAGAATATTAGTTTTGAGAGAATATTAGTTTTCTTTCAGCAAAACATTACAGACTTCAACTTCTTCAATTTAGAAAAAAACCATTCACCTCTCAGATATAATTCTCAAACCTTTGAGATTCCACAATATAAATGACAACATTATTACAGAGGACAAAAAATTACAAAACAATTTTATATTGGAAAAAAACAACCTGATCCTAGTCAAGGTCACAACAAATCATATCATAATATTATAGTAATATAGTATTCAGAGGAATGAATCTTGTTCCCATTTACCAGCATAGTCAGTTTAAAGAAAAGCCATAATATTGGAATCTTAAAAAATTAGAGATAGTGGTTTAAAAAGCTATGGAAAAATCCATAGAATGGGAAAGGCAAAAAATTTTTTTTAATCTCTGAGGATAAAAAAAATGTGATAACAAAAAAATAGCTATTGCTAAAGAGACTTCTAGTAGCAAAATAACTTGACCCAAGAGATATCCACTCTTATTTCTAACTGAAAATCTAGTTGTACTTCAGTGGACCCCCTTCCCCTTCATATTCTAGTTCTTAAATATATACAGAAGAAGAACTAAATAGTTTTCTAAACAGATTTTTACTTTGAGGACTACTGGAATTTCCAATCAAAAATTGGGTTTTAGCTAATTTAATACTTAAGAATTGAACTTTGGTGTTGGAGAAGATTCCTGGGAATACCATGAAGAGCCAGGAAAACAAACATATGGATCATTGAACAAATCAACCCAAAGTTCTCAATAAGGCATAAATGGCCAGACTCAAATTATCATACTTTGGGCACATTATGCAAAGACCTACCTCTCTGGTGAAGTCTATAATGCTAGGAAAGGTGGAAGGAAAGACAACAGGATGAAAAGCAGTAAGGTGGATGGATTCAATTATAACAGTGATGGGTGCACCACTGGAAGACCTGAAAGACCAGTTTGTGGATAGATTGTCATGGAGAAAATCTATCTGTGTGGTTGCTAAAAGTTGATACTGACTTGATGCACATAATCAAATCAAATTAAGAATTAATTAAGAAACTTGTGGCAGTTTCAGGATCATAATATTTCCTTAATCCACTATCCAAGGATAGGAAGAAAATTGCAGGATACAGGAAAAAGTTCTTATCCCTTGATTTGTAATATCCTAGATTTGATTAAATTGCATGCTTTTTTACAACTCTAAAAGGAAGATCAGGAAAGATCATTCATATTTGCTGGCATATTCCTAGATAGCTGTTTGCCTGGAAAGCTGCAAAATATTGTCATATTCATGCATTCACATTCATACACACTCGCTTACCAACTGCCTCATTTAACAATTGTTTGAAGTTATGACAGTGTAAAACAAAAATAGCTTTGCAACCAATCCTCACCTCCCACGGTCAGGTGATTGCCATATGTGCACTTCGCAACCAGCGTGCACTTATGACTGTCACAGTGTCCCACAGGCACATGATCAACATTTGTTTGCTTCGCAACTGCCTTGTGATAAGTAGAGTTAATGGAGAACATGGAAGTAAAATCATAAGTCATGGTCACGTGATGTTTTGCTTAACAACCGTGGTGATTTGCTTAATGACCAAAGGGGAACACTTAATAACTTTTCCGGAAGGTCTGGAGAGTAGTGGCCCACCTCACCTCTGAGGGAAGAGTATTCCATAGGGCGGGGGCACCTCACCACCACCACCTGATTCAGTCTATGATAAGATTAAAATCTTGTTTGAACTGGATATGCAGGTTCCAGAAACTCCCTGTGATCCCCCCATTCCCACTGCATTCAACTTTCTTTTGTTTCTCCTGACATATTCAACTTTCACTGAGGTATTATCAAGAGGGTAGAAGTATGCTTTCATACATACTGATTTTTACTCCTTTCCACAAACTTTAATTCCTTGCTACAGACAACATATTACCCACTACATTATAATCAGCAGTTACATATCTGTATCTTTAGTATACATTCTACTACAGCTCATAAATTCATCTACTTGCTATAAATGTATGCCATTTATGTGCAACTTGCAAGAACTGACTTTTCCTTACAAACACATCTTGATTACTGATATTTTAATTTTCAGAACTACTAGTTGCAATATTCAATATTTCTAGCACTTCTGAAAATCATTGGTGTACTCAGCCAATAATACTGCATGGTCTGGATAAAAAGTGCATGTTTGTTCAACACACTTCTAATGTTATCATAAACATTCCTTATACATTTATTCCATAAATATTAAACATCCAGCAAGACAGCATACATCCTTGTAATGCTTTGTCCTCAACATTGAAGCATTTGTTAGGTACTCCATTTATTCTCACACATGTCATATTTCCATCATAATACTACTCTTATGTAATGGAAGGCATGTGCAAAGAAGATACTGGAATGGAGGATCAAGGTTATCATGAGGGAGGGGGAGCATTCCAGGAGAGGTTGCAGGGCAAGCACTTTCTCGGCCCGCAGCAGGACCATGAGAAGATGAAGAAGCTGAGACTCTAGAGTCTCATGGGGTTTATCCACAGGCTTTAGCATAGGTTTAGTCTGGCGAGATTCTGTCTATAAAGTGCAAGCTAATAAAGCAACTATACTGGACTGGACTGCCTCATCGTCATTCTTGGGCTGGGCCTGACATCTTACCACATTTGAAGTCAACTTTCAAATCAAGCTTACCAATTTTGTGATAAGCTTTCTCTTCCTTGAGGGAGGGAGTGTTTCCAGTTGCCTTTAAGGAGGTGCTAGTGCACCCCCTCCTCAAGAAACCATTACTGGATCCCACCGTACTGGACAATTTTCACCCAGTCTCTCACCTCCCCTTTTTAGGGAAGGTGGTTGTGAAAGTGGTGGTGTTGCAGCTCCAGAGGATCCTGGATGAAATGGATTATCGGACACTTTTCAGTTGGGTTTCAGGCCCAGATATGGAATGGAAACAGCATGGGTCGCACTTTTGGATGATCTCTGGTGGGAGCGGGATGGGGATAGTGCATCCATCCTTGCTCTTCTTGACCTCTCAGCAGCTTTTGATCCCATCAACCATGGTATCCTTTTGGGTTGGGTTGGCTTGGGGAGTTGGGGGCCGGTAGCACAGTTTTGTGCTGGTTTACCTCCTTCCTCTAGGGCTGGTCCAATCAGTGTTGATAGGGAGTGAGAGGTCCAGCCCACAGCCCCTCCTTTGTGGGGTGCCACAGGCTTCAGTACTTTCCTGCTACTTTTTAACATCTATATGAAACCACTGGGTGAGATCATCCACCACCATGGGATGAGGTATC